CGAATTACTCTATGGGAAGAAACGCGAAAGTAGATCGATTTTGTGAACATTTTCCACCAGTAGTTCAATAATTTCGNAAACGCGAAGGTAGATCGATTTTGTGAACATTTTCCACCAGTAGTTCAATAATTTCGCGATCACTAAGAAATTTGGATTTCTCCTAAAGGGAGAGAAGCCCCCTTTAAGACTCGACCACTCGGGACGAGGAGCGATAAACGACTGGCTTGGTTTTTGATTTTGATTGTGGAAATGAGCGTTAACCCCTTAAATTGTATGGTGCAACGCTTGAATTTTTGCTGATCAGGCAGCAACAGCATGAGCTATGCTAACTGGTCTCAATTCCGTTGAGTTTACGGATGGAAAATGTATGTGGACGAAGTAAGATTGGGAAATGACGACGGAAAGTCGGCCATTTCTCAATATTGGATTCACTAATATTTAGAACGATGATGAATTCCCAATAAAATGATGAAGAATTATTTTTGGACGTTACAAATTGAAAATCTCGTAATACTTGGAGTGATAATGTAAAGTGATTAGACTAGAACGTTATCAATTCCATGGATATAATTGTCAGGTAAACATTTGGAACTTTTGATGAAGAGAAAATGATTCGCGTGCAAAAAGAATGGTTGGGCCTATCAAATGATCTTTTGACATTATATTTATATAAATATTTTCTCTCGTAATTATGAGAGATTTGATTGTCAATTGAGATCCAATAATTACTTTAATTAAATATGATGAGAAACGATTGGAAAACTCAATAGGTAGAACCATTAATTCTGATTGGATGTAGTACAAGAAATAATTTACAACATTTTGCAGTTTTATGAATGAATTACTTTTATTATTGAAAAATTAAAAATATGGAAGGAACAAATATAAAAACAGTGAGTGTGCATACGATTAATCGAGTGATTGTAAGGTAAGTAATACGACAATTTCGAAATTTTACACATACATTTTTGAGTGAGTAAAGAATTTTTTCATCTTTATATTGAACGCGTGATGATAGGCAGATAACTACTCCCATACATTTTTATTGTCTTTCACACGAAACGAATTTGAACAATTAATATTTGAAAACATGAAATCAGATTGAATTATGAATAATATTCATAATTCAACAAAAACCTTGAGATTGAATGAATTACTTTTATTGGAAAATTAAAAATATGGAAAGAACAAATATAAAAACAGTGAACGTCCATACAATTAATCGAATGATCCTAAGGTAAGTAATACGGAAATCTCGAAATTTTACACATACATTTTTCAGTAAGTAAACAATGTTTTTATCTTTATGTTGAACCCGTGATGATAGGCAGATAACTACTCCTGTATATTTTTATTGTCTATCACACGAAACGAATTTGAACAATCACTATTTGAAAACATGAAATTACATTCAATTATAAATAATGTTTATGATCCAACTTCTATCAAACCAACATTTCACGTATGAAAACATTCAATAGAAAAACCTAGAACTTTCTACAAGAAATTCTTCTGAATTTCTATCGGAACTTTATAAGAATTCCATAGCACGTCTAATGAACTTCTGTTGAATAGTTTTATTCGTTTTTTGCGCCAATTCTATCGGATAATCTATAGGAACAGTCAATACATTTGGATTTCTGTTTGAATTTTTCCATTGAGATTTTTTCCATTGACATTTTTAGGCATGAATGTTCTGAGTTTTTTTCATTCTCATTCTGTAATGCAGATTAAAACGAAAGACATCATGAAAAAACTTGGAAATTTCACGTCTAAAAATTTTAGAAAGAAAAAAGCTCATTAAAAAAATTTAAACAGAAGTTCAAATCTATTGACTTTTCCTATAGAATATCCAAAAGAATTGATGCAGAAAACGAATAGAATTATTCAACAGAAGTGCAATAGAATTGCTATAGAATCCGTATAGAGTTCGAAGAGACATTCAGTAGAATTTCTTGAAGAAAGCGCCAGGGTTTTCTATTGAATTTTTTACTATGTTTTGAGAAGATCATGTCACTATACACTTTGATAAAAATATGAATATATTGAAAAATATTAAATATCGAACATGGCAGCCAACATAAACTTTCTTTAAAATATTTTCAACTACAATCTTAATTATATTTTTTCTCAAAAAAATTATGACGTCCGAAAAAATCAATTCTAGGTCATTTTCTTCTACTTTTTAGCATTATGAAATTGAACATCATTTAAGAAAACTAATAAAATCTTTTCTGTTCGAATAAGACTTCTATGACATAAACTCCTATTCTTACAGTAATAATTCTTACTCAGTTCCATCCTATAGATGGAATAAATATGAAGCAAAAATAAATATTTAAAAATATTTGAGTTCGAAAAGAGTTCAGCAGGGATACGAAAATCGTTGATGAATTAAGTACTCTCATCATCAGTATCACCAAGGGGAAACTGGAGAGACTTAGTCGGATAGAAGGGTTTTCTGCCCCTACTGTGTCTCAAATTCTGTAGTCCTTCTAGGAATGAATCGTCGATAGATTCAAAATCCCAAGGAGACTCATCGCCAGAATTTATGTCTGGAGATGACGGTCCGGATATTTTATTTCTGTGTTGTGACGAGGCGATTCTTTTATTTTTATTTGTTTTTATTTTATACTTTGCCCAACTATACACTGCCCCCTAAATAATAAAATCCCGCCACCGTTGGATACCCCTTCCCTCGATTTTCCCCTCATCGCCCCTCTACTCCCGCTACTGGACATCACGAAGACATCAGCCGAAGAAAGACAACAGTTCCGGCCCTACTGGATAAACTGAAGGAGCCGTTGCTCCCCCCACAAACTACCCATACATGGGCCTCGGCAACCTACCGCCCTCGACGATCCCAGCGAGACATCCCTGGATTGTGGTCGTCGTCACCACTCACCCGTGCTGATTGGCCCCGATTGTTCCCGAATTACAACCCGAAGGACTTCGGCACCTGACGAACCCCCACGAATCACGGAGGAAACGAAAAGACCATCACTCGTGTAACCGCTGTCCTGGACCCTGCCACGTGCGCCCCAAGAGTTGAAGAAACAGTACAAATAGCCCGAAGAACCCGTATATTGGACTTTGTGTTCGAGTAAAGAGGATTTTTGGTGCCCGAGCTCATCCCAGCTCTAAATACCGTGCCCCTGGAGTCTGGAAGGAGGAACGAAGGCTCAATCTCTGGAGTCGCTGAAGGACCCGGATTAGACCTTAACTGGAAGTCGTGAGTGCGAGTTACCCCCCTCATTTTCCCTCTTGTCCCCGCAATATTACCCTTCATACCCCCCAACGGTGAGCCTACACTCTTTTGTTTCTTCCCCATTCAGTTATTATTTTCATAGTTAGTTACATTCCCTCGACACGACTAGCTTCTCCCCTTTTTCTGCATTAGAGTCACTCCCTTCTTACGTGTACAAAAGTTGCCTGGCCTCCCCCACTCCCTAGATCTCAGTAAAGGCCTTATTTACGTCTTTGGACGATCATAATTGTATTTAGAAAAGAATATAGGTTATTATTCTCAAATTATCCCTTATTTGTCCCTTTTCTTGACTCGCCCTAATCCTTTTTTCAGGAATTAGTATTATAGAATCTAGAGAATGGTCACAGTGTTTAGATCTCGGTGTCAAGTCCATTCCTTCTTCTCTCAATCGATCGTCTCCCACAGAAATTTTTCTCTTCTTGATGATAGTGTTCGGTTTTCCACCGAATTATTTTCCGCACACACACACACTCACGCACACTCGCTCCTCTCGCATGCTTGGATGGCTTCTCATGACTGACCTGCGCAACCGACTGAACTGACCAGTGGCCTCTCACCTCTGACACCTGAGGCGCCACTTGATGGACAGGTGTCCAGCGAACGCCCCCATTTAAATTGGGGCACGTTCGGACCCTCGATGATTGCCACCTGCCACCTTGCGGTCTTTTAATCGGTCTCATTTGCATTTTGGCCTTCGTACTGTGTACATTGTGTTCCGCGAATATTCTAGTATTTCTATTGTATTCGAGTTCTGCGTACAATTGCTCGGCGTTATAGATTCTGTGAACTGCGTTAATAACTATTGTGACCCGCGCCAATATTCTTGACCTTCTCAATTAATTAAATTTGACACGTGTAAATAATTGACTTTATTTGATAATTAAATCGACTATTGTGATCAACGTGCACGTGCAGTGATTTGTGGACCTTCTTCCGCTCCCATTAAAAGCCATTTAAATTTCGCCCATCTCCAGTCAATATTCCCGAAACCAGATCCGAGCTCAAACAGATAGCCTTCTCCTGATTTTTCTTTTTCGTATTTTTCATCTTTGTGGTATTTACTGTCTCCTCAGAATTATTGGCCTTATCTGCATTTTTTTTCGATTCTTCTCTGCAATCAAAAGACGCTTGAGAAAATTGCATCGATGATATTGTCATGAATGGCAATCGAGTTATCCAAAATTTGTCTTTTTTCATTTCACAATAAAATGGGAAATTGTAACATTGCTGTCATTCGTTACAGGAAACTTTTTTCGTAATGATGGTTTGAATGAATGAATTCAATGGAATAAACTCCTAAACTACGTAAAATTGAGCTCACTTTCACTTCATATCTACATACATTATTTGTCATTTACAATTCCTATGCTCATTGAATATGTCTGCATTACTGTCAATATCCCAATAACTACCGAGGAAGAGTGCACAAAGCATCTCATTGTGAATGGAATTCCCTATTTCCCCAAAGAGGAAAAAGAAAATTGTAATCGTATTATTGTAAATATTTAAAATTAAATTACCAAATGTCTATAACACATTCGAAAAGAACATTCACTACGATAAAAATAATGATCATGATAAAAACAATGATAAAAATAATAAAATGATAAAAATGATAAAAACAATTGTCATTATTTATCCCTGAATAAAGACAGGTTCTTAGTTGCGTTAACATTAACAGGTATCGTATCTGATCTGAATTTGCATATGTTTGATATTGAACTTGAACATTTGCTACATTTACGAAATCAACTATGAGTCCATTCATTCCAAAATAGAGACAATAAACGGCTTATTGGAAGAAAGAAAATACTGAGACATTCTCTTCAGTATAAATGTTTGAAGATTGCAAAACTCACTTGGGCCCTGTCTGATGTCATTAATCTTGATTCTAAGATAGTCAGAAATTTGAGCGAGTTCATAAGCAATAGAGTCCTCGTCTAACTTCTGATAAGTCCTCAGGTAATAACTGTAAATATCTGAAAACAGTACATCAATTAAATTGAAATTATGTTATTCTCAGACTTCTAATAGATCTCCAATAGAATTCTTCTAGAATTCCAATAGAAATTCAAGATAATTTCATAGAGAAAGCTTAGGTTATCTTAAGTTTCCTTAATGCATTTTTCCATACGTGAAACCACATGCATTTGGTGTATAACCAACGACATTCTGACTTAGATATAGACAAATGTAGTTAACTAACTGTTATAAGTTGACCAATATTTGAATACCTCTTAACGCTAAGCGTCCCTTTAAAGATAGAGCTTGTTTTGTCTCTCTTGTTCGACGGGATATACTTCCGGTAACGCTTCCAGTTTTCAATTCCTCTTGGAATATCAGTTCTGCCATTCTCCAAACAAAAGCGTGTGATGAACATGAATGGACACCAGTTGTATCGTAGTCCTCCTTGCTAATCCATATTCCTTGCCCTAAGTGCATACTTTCAGTCTGTAAATGATATAGGATTTTATATAATTCATCATGGATGATTATCCAGATGTAAATCGATTTCTATCAACTTTTTCGATACGTGTTGTTACAAATTTTTGCCCTGACAGCCGGGGATTAAACCCGGGTCGCCCGTATGCTAATACCACACTCTATCCACATAGCCACCGCTATCAGTATCCATATCTAGAAATATTTCTACATAATATTTCAATGAAATGAGATATTCTTGTCTAAAGGATGTTCATCTAACATTGCAAGTTCTCAAAATAATATAAAACATTATTTAAAACTGGAAGACAGTTCTCTTCGTCATGTTGATCAAAATCTCAATTCTCTAACTCGAGTTGATTATTCAGAAATAACATTAAAAACATGCATCGAATGCAGGTGTTAGCATGTGGTTATATGGAATTCAAAGTGTTCAATATCTTCATTATTGGCCTGCATTTAAATTCAATTTTCCTTGATCATTCAATTTAGCACATTTTCCTTTATGACCCTCCGTTTTCATCCTCAGTTTTGAAGTACTCCAGTAGGTTAATTACTAATTTGGAACTAAATCTCCTAAGAGTCCATGCATAAGGAAAGTTTTGCTCATTTCATTTAATCGAAGCTACTGCAAATAATTTCTTCATTCTCAGAAATTTTGGTGTTGTATGTTCCCCTAGCAGTCTAACTAATTACAGAATGTTCCTTAAACATAAAAAACATTCACTTCTCCGAAAATGGATAAACAAATAAATATTCGTGAATTCTTTTTGGGCAAAAATCACTCTTGAATGAAAAGGGTTTAACACGATAGTTCCCCAATTCATCAGGAATAAATTTGTCTTCAAGGAATTCAATACGTAATTCATTTTATTTTGGGCAACTAGAGTAACTCGTTTGGGCATCTCCATCGTGGAAACTTCCACAGTTATCAGGGAATCTCGGGATGAAAGAAGTGTCATGGAAAAAGAAGGAATATCTGTGACGAATAACATCATGGAAGCATTCAGGAGTTTCGATTCGACATTTGGTATGCACAATGATAAGGGAAGATGATAGTGCTGCTTCAGCTGGGATCAGACTTACCTTGTCGTTTTCACTCCTCCAATAACTAGAAGGGGGAGGACTTTCAAAATTCCTCAAGTTTGTTTGTAAGTTTCTTACTGTAGTTTCTGTATAAAGAAAATTATTCCCCTTTAATTGCGAATAAAATAATCAACATTTTTAGATTCATCAAGATGAACTCAATCATACCTTTCAGTTTTTGGAAAGAATTGTTGGCTGTCTTTATTTCTTTCAAAGCAGCCCCCTGAAATGTTTCTAATCGATCGGATAATTTGACTAATTGACTACGGAGATTTCTCAGTTCTTTCAATATACTCGTGTTGTCCTTGTGATTTTCTGATTGTTTCTTTTTCTGAAAAAATCTCGCCGGCGCCTGTAATTTTGGATTACATTAATGATTCTTTTTGCGACAGAGCTGATTGCTAGCTGAATGTTGATGGGACACAAATATGGAAATTTACTTTTTTTGGTCGGTTTACATCAGCAACTTCCACTAATGATTCCAAATCTGAATGATCTTCAATATTTTTCCATCTTATAGATCCTCATCAATTAGTCACCTGTAGTTGAATTTGTTGGCTCTCAATGTTTCCATATCAATATACACGTATCTTTCATATTATTCAACTCCCACGAAACCCCGATGAGTCTGGGATCCCCCCTCCCCCCGTGACATTTCCTGATGAAATCTTACCTGTTTAGGCAGAGATTTGACCGATTTCTTCAGATTTTTAGAAAAATGTCCATTCGACTTATTTTCAGGATAAGAAAGGTCGTTGTGTTGGCGAGGACTGAATAAAGGACTATTGTTGTCATCCGTTTCTGAGGATTTCTCTGAGATATTTGGTGAATGGTGAGATGTGGAATCGTGCATGTCACCGAAATGACCTGGACTCCTCGAAAAATTAGGTCCATCTTTTACTCTGAGGCGTATGTCGTCATTCTGCAATATACAATCATTTCAGTGATACTATAGAGAGATTTATCATCGAATCACGAATCGGTTACAGGGGTTCAAAGTAATATTCTCACTCCAGAAATCTGTTAGAAGTCGAAGGTACGGGAGCAAAATACAGTTTGAAAAACGGCTATTATGAAAGCAATTCAATGCCGAAGATTACCGTACGAATATGAATTACACCTAATAATACCAACAATAAGTAGGAATCCCGCATTTTTTGCTGTAATTATCGAAACAACTGAAGGCCTCCGCACAGTCAAAAAGCACAAGCGATAATCGAAAAATATAAATTATAGACTATTCGTGTAGCTTATAACTTAGTTATCTTACTCTATTGTGCGTTCGCGCATTGACTACGGAACGTTGGAAACTTATTTCTTATAGCCTATAACCGATATTTGTTGCTTATCGCTTGTGTTTTTTGATTTTGCGGAGGTCCTGAAATCGATGAAAAACATTTGCTCTTAAATTTACCTCAGGCGACTTGTTCCCATGCTCGTGAAGAGCATCTTTAGCTGATGCGTTCCAAGCACAAGATTCCATCTCCACGGAATCTAAGTCAGACTCATTCACAGGCTCCCCGTCAACTTTAGTCTTATCGCAAGATTCGGGTATCTCTAGCTCAGATTGATCGGGAGTCTTGGAAAAAGTATTGCGAGGAGAGGTTCGGCAGACTTTCTGTTATAACAATCGATCTTCATAAATACATGTATGATTTGAAAAGATCACATTGCATAGAATTCAATCCCTGCTATTGCAGTCTCATTGTACATCGGTACTCTACAGTGACAAATGGGTATGCCGGAAGTAATAGTGAGAGCGTCCAACATTTATGTAAACTGCTTCATCAACATCAATGGAAATTAATCAGAACCCGAATTATGAGCATTTACGTCAAGTACATTAATAATACTTCAATAGAAGGCACTGTCTACTCATGGGGAGACGATAAAATAAATAATTGTGTTGAGGAGAAGTGCATACAGGCTGCTATATAATATGGCACTTGAAATGTAGACAAGAATCGATTTCGTGTTATGTAATACATTTGATTCTCACTCGGATGATTGATAACGAGTATTATGAGTATTGGCTGGAAGAAGCTAGTTAAAATTTTGAACTGAAAATTTGCAGACACTAGAAATACACGTAAGAAATGAAACATTCCATCATGCTGTGGTGAGAATGAATTTTGCGCACGCTCCGTGCGCAATATCGCACTTTCCATACATTGTGATAAATAAATAGCATCCGACACTCGCGTTCTTTGATACACTCGCCTTCGAAATATGTACTCTCCTCATCAGGGAAGGAAGTGACGTCATTGACTCCATATGCTATGATAATATAAAAACATCAAATATACCTTTGGTTTTTTCACCGTATTGTTCTCAACATCACTATAAGATTTCCTCTTCAGACTTTCCTCTCCATCTAGTTTCCCCGTCTCGAAAATCTGGCACCCCATATCTTCCCCGGTATTCTCATCACTTGACAGTTTTGGGGCGTTGATAACTCCTTCATTCTTTTTCTTCCAAGCATCATTCATTTTCTCATCATTAATTGTACATTAATTGTCAATTTGTTTTTTCAGCCGAGAACATTCACTCGAAATGGAGTCCTGTAATGTCTTATACGCTGCCTTAAGGAGTCTCCTCAGTTGTTTTACAACAAGGTATTCGCGAACTAAATATGCCATATAAAAATGGAAGTTGAGAAAACATTACAGAAAAAGTTCTGGGCAGTTCTATGGTTTGTTTGGATTTCATTGACTATTTTCATTATTTCTTATGAGCTATCCATGATCGCTCATTTGTACTTTATCCGTCACACGGTTGACAAGGCGCTAGCTAGTGAAGACAACTATTTTTATATACTAAGCCCTCCAATAGGAGAGTTTCACGAAAATTTATCGTTAATGTGTTCAATAAATTAACAAAACCCTATTTTGTGCGATGTCCATCATTGTCCAACATATTCCGTATCTGATATTTCGTCCCTTTTCAAAATGACCACACCAACTTCGACATTTCACACTTCACTCACCAATGCACCTATTCCTCTTTTGCCCAACTGAAGAGTAAATGAAATTGAGTAGATTACTTTTTACTTTTATTACAGATTTTTTATTACAGATTGATTGCGAATCATTTCAATTGCAAATCTCTTCAGCTATGATGGGTTACACGGTATTAACCAGAATTATCGAAATGATATCATTTTATTTCCTCAAATTCAAAAATATTATTGGTCAAGATTCGGAGGAAGGGAATAATCAGTTAAACACCATGAAGATTGTTCAATGTGATGTCGCATGGTGTGATTCTATTAGTTGGGAAATTGATTGGAAAAATAAACGCTTGAATTGAAAGAGAAAAGTTGTGCAGAAAGGAAATTTTACGGCATTTTCGTTTTAGAAAAGACACTTTCTAAAACGAATGTTAGCATTTTGATTATCATACCTCCTACATAACAAATAGCGATTTGCTCCGTAGTAGAGATTACACGACATTTCTTTTGTTTATTTATTGGCAGCTGGAAATGATTTATGTCAGAGACTTCCACTGTCCCGAAGCGTGGGCCACCATCCAGAAAACGCACTCGTGCGTACTTTGGATCTGAAGACATCGTTGAATCTGAAACGATATATTGGCATGAAAATCACAGCGATTATGTAGTAATATGACATTCCCTTTTATGCCGATATTTTACTTCGAAATAAAATTAAAGTTTCCATGAATATGAGGCGAATGTACAGGCCAACTGACTAGTTCATCATCCAGAAATTCGACGGTTAAATTATTGATAAGTGTTTTATTTATTCAAAACAGGTTATAGTTTAATTAGAAATTGTTGCTGCTTGAAATATTTTTGTCTGTCACAAATTTGCGATGAAAAGAAAGATTTTCGGGGCGAGCCCCTGACAAGGACAGTTATGCGTGCGAGGAAAGGAGCGGACTCTCAGTATTCTAGTAGGATGCGTGCACCAGCATGGTTTCCTTATGGTCCACTATTTAAAATAAAAAACACAACAATAAAACTTGATAAAACCGCCAAATCCATCAACCAAGTCAGATCTTCTTAATAAAAAAACAGCGAAGACAGGGCCGACGTCCTTCCTGCAGTGATTTGAAATAGTCGCGCCAAGAACGTTAAACGGGTTTTGATTCAACTGATTATTTATTGAGCCTTGATTTGGCTTATTTCAATTGATTTCTCAATTTTGTTAATTTTCAGATTATGTAGGGAAGTTCTATTTTTTTTTTAATTTCAGTCGTAAGTCAGATTCAGGGAATTATCTAGCCGAAGGCCTCTTGTGCTCCAAAACTGTAGGAAATTTTAAAGCACACAGGGTTTTCGGCTAGATAATTCCCTGAATCTGAATCCCAACCAATAGGGAGTATTTTGCAGTATTTTACGTTTTCGCGGGTTAGAGCCATGTTTATACCGGAACTTCATTCACTTCGGCGGAAAATTGTCACTTGGTTGCCATGCAACTAATTGGGGATAACCGAAAAATCATCGAAATAATCCTAACCCCACTCAATCGCAAAACGTCGAATACTGCATTTTTATTGATTGCCAATTCAGCTGAGGGGAATAATCAGTTATAATATCCGAAACCTTCACAATTATCGGAATATTTCCCGAATGCTTCGTTGCAAATAAATGAGGTATTCCATGTGAAAAGAGTCAACGGCTGACCCTCACCCTCTTGAAAATTGATGGCGATTTTTTCTGCGATTTAGGGGCTAGAAAAATTATCTCTCAAATTTTTTCAGATTTTTTCCATAGCCCAGTTCGGAGATAGGATTTTTTCTTTATTCTTTCGTTTCTCTTCCATAACTCGAGCTCTACGCATCCAATTTTGATTTGTTAGGGGTCAAAATTTTCCATTTTTTACCACCTATGAGGATGTTTTCTGTAAAGAATTTTTCCAATCTCCGGATGCCCGAGATAACGAATTTAAAAAAAAAAACGTTGAAAAACTTGAATTTTGCAAATTACGTCACGGTTTATTATTTTAAGTTTTTTTTTAGTAATTGCTCTGATCAAAACAAGAATTTTGAGCCATTATACATGTTGGGTTTCAACCAGGAACTATTTTTTTAAATTGTTTCTCTTTAAAATTGCGCGAATTTGGCGAAAATATCCTAAAACGACCTTGATTATGTACCGAAAAAATATGTAACGTATAAGTATAAATTTAAATCCACTTCATACTGTTTATAATCAAAGTCAATCAATGCCATTCTAGGGTATTTCGATCGAATTCGCGAAATTTCTATAATTAAAAATTAAAACTAAAATAGATAGAGGATGAAACCCAGCATGTATGACGGCTCAAAATTCTTGTTTTGATTACAGGAATTACTGGAAAAAAAATTGAAATGATCAACCGTGACGTAATTTGCAAAATTCACGTTTTTCAACGTTTTTTCTGAAAATTCTTTATTTCGAGCATCTAGAGATTGAAAAAAAATGTTTACAAATGTGACGTTATCAGTTAGATCACCCACCGCATTAATCCTGGGTGATCTAACATGTGACTAGTCCCTGGGATTAGTCACAAATAGAAATAAGGTTTTCTTTCCTAGGGCCGTCGTACCCTATGTTGACCGGCTAGTTTCGGCGGTGAGCTCACGGGGAGTTCGCTCACTCGAAGGGATGTTCGAACAAGGATAGAGGAAGGATTAACGATACTAAATCCATCGTACTAGATGTAGGTAAAATAGCTGTATATTGGTGGTTAATTTAGACACGGTAGTGTGCAATGGGTCGGTATAACGCGGTTCTATAATATTGATTTGACTCGACTGAGACTCTGACTCGTTGTTGTCTTGTATGGCTGAAGGCCTGAGCTTTGACAGATCCTTTCTGTTTCGCTCTTGAGCTCTCTAGAGAGTTCCTCCAAACTCCTCAAAGTCTCCGTTTGCTGAGCTAAGCAGTCTCACGGTTTTTCTCCACTAAAACTGTTTTGTGTCATCACTGACACAGACTAATACAGTCAAACAGTTCGGTTCACTTGAACTGGACTTGCGAAAACCGTGTGACTGCTGACCATGGCGTCCAAAAGACACCATGGTATAGCTGACTAATGTCTGGATGGCAGGATGGAGAAATCATGTTTCTCTTTCCTCTCATCCAGTGGTAATATGATCCTTTCATATTATTAATTACTAAATCGACATATTGGTCGATCCCAATACGTCACACAAAAAATATTCTTATAGATGGTCAAAAATTGAAAATTTTGACCCCCAAGAAATCAAAATTGGATGAGTAGAACTCGAGATAAGCTTATTCTCGAGTTGTATGAAAACGGATTTGTCTCTGAACGCGTCTTTGTCCAAGAATCGCCTATACGATTACCATGTGCTATCCGCGAACGATGCCTGCACACTCGAAGTAATAAAATTTCCATCATGCTAACGGACGAACCCCTCATTTTTCTTAAATCGATACATCTCCCTTGCTTCGGACTGTATGTGTTGAAAGAATTGATGAGTCCGTTGAAATCGAGGTTGAAATTTTACAGAAGATGAAAATTATTTTGAATTACGAAAGGACATTTTTGAACAGGTCTATTTTCTCCATCTGCCCTAGTTTTCGTCATCATTTTTTATTGATATGTCAGCCAATGAAATGGTGTCTCCCGATGTTAGGTGGTACGACCACTGATGTGTTAGTCAACGAGTTGAATTTTTTTTTTAGATTTTACTTTTTGTTGCATATGAGGGATTCTCTACCAAACAGGTCACTCAAATTTTTCGATGTCCTCGAAAATTCTCAGAAAATTTGAGCGTGTTCTGTAAAGTAGTACATACGAAACTCACATTTCAAAGATTAAAACCTGGAAAAAATTGTAAACGAAAGTTCATAAGAATAGGAAAATACTGGTTGAGTTTGCGGGCAATCCTCAGTCTAGTATTGTTAATAATAATTTACCAAAAAATGCCTAAATAACACAGAGTCTCATGAGAAAATGAGCTATTTGAGGTTATGGCGAAAATTAAGATCTATAAAAAATCTAAAAAAATCAGAAAAAATAAATAAAAAATCTATCTAGAATCTGAAAATTATCCTCAGTCTCATTCATTTGTTATAAATTATTAAAGTTCCCGATTGCCCCAAAGCGGTGTGTTGTGCGAGAGTGAGAGAGAGGGAGAACAAGACGCTAGTCAAATAGGAGACTATTATTTGAAAAAATAATTCAACAAATAATTCCATGGATTAATAACTTACGCCCTCAAAGTTAGGGGTCATATGAAAAATTGTCAAGCATGAATAAGCATTTTTTTGGACATTTAAAATTTATTTTCCGTTGTTACACTCAACGACTCATGCGGAGTTTGTATGTACTACTTTAACGCAAAAAAAAAATCTAGAATTTTTTCAGATTTTTTTGTTACTCCGTTTGGAAAGAAAATAGCGGAGTACA